CCCCAAAACCCCAAAACCCCAAAACCCCATAAGGGCTCAAAGTATATTGGCATTTGAATTATTTGATTGGTTAATTAAGACTTTGTGAAATTATATAATATAATTAAATAAGGAGGATTAAAGTTCCCTTTAGGATTGAAAATAATCATTGAAATAAGTATGTATCTATATTCACTTACACTTAACTAAGCAACAGCAATTAACAACTCTGTCTACGGCAACTTTTCAGGACCCAAGCAGCATGAGATAGTTGTATCTAAGGGCAAAATACTAGAAATGATGAGACTTGATGTTGATAGTCAAAAAATGTAGCTTGTCTACCGCCAAGAGGTGTTCGGGCTAATAAGGAAAATGATTCCTTTCAGACTCCTTGGAATGCAAAAGGACTTTTTGGTGATTGGCTCTGACTCTGGAAGAATTGTAATTTTGGAATATGACTCAGAGCACAATAAATTCGTCAAAATTCATTAAGAGACTTTCGGTAAAACTGGATGTAGAAGAATAGTTCCTGGCGAATATTTAGCTGCTGACCCGAAAGGTAGAGCCATAATGATAGGAGCAGTTGAGAAGTAAAAGTACGTTTATATTCTGAACAGAGACTCTTAAAACAAGCTAACTATCTCAAGTCCTTTAGAAGCTCACAAGCCTCATACAATTACATTTGCTATGTGCGGAGTTGATGTCGGAATCGAGAATCCCTAGTTTGCATGTTTGGAAGTAGACTATGGCGAGTCTGATAGTACTTACAGTGCTGTGGTAACTGGATAGCACTAAAAAATGTTGGTATTTTATGAAATGGATCTCGGTCTCAATCACGTAGTTAGAAAATATTCAACTCCTGTAGAAAATTCAGCACATTTGCTCATTCAAGTGCCAGGTGAACCTTATGGGCCAAGTGGTATTATTGTGGTATGTGAAAATATGGTTTGCTATAAGAAGGTTGATCACGATGACAGAGAATGCTCCATCCCTATCAGATATGATCAGGTAGAGGAAAGAGGTACATTCTTTACTTGCAATACAACACACACATCAAAAGATCTCTTCTTTTTCTTGCTTTGCAGCGAGTATGGCGACATCTTCAAAGTTAATCTAGATTTTACAAATGGCCAGGTACATGGAATGAGTGTATAATATTTCGATACCACTACTCCAAATGTTTGCATTAATATACTTAGACCTGGATTCCTATTTTGTGCCTCTGAGTTTGCTAATCACGTTCTATACATGTTCCTTGATATAGGTGAGAATGATCCAAATAAAATTGTAACTTACTCTGCAGATAAGCGTAGCAAAGTAGTCAATTACAATCCGAGAGCATTGTTAAACTTGCAAGCAGTGGATGAATTCTAAAATTTAGCCTCAATAAATGATATGAAAGTTGAAGATCTGACTGGAGAAGGTAATCCTTAAATATATCTTGCCTGCGGTAGAGGAGCCTAAGGATGCCTTAGAGTTCTTAGACACGGTTTGACAGTTGTTGAAATGGCAGTAACTGGAATGCCATAAAAACCAATAAACGTAATGACAGTAAAAGGAAAAATTGACGATATATATGACAAGTACATGATTGTGTCATTCTAATAGCAAACACTGGTATTAAGCATTGGATAAGAAAAAGTTACAGAGGTAAAAGATTCAGGCTTGACTGATGAAGAAAGCACGCTACATGTGGGCATTCTACAAGACAATTCATATGTTTAAATAACGCCAAAAAGTATCATTCATATTAAGGGAGATCCTAGCAATCGTAAAAGAGCAAAGTGGGACAGCGAAAAGGGAAAAATCATCAAAGCTTGCTCAAATCAGCGATAAGTAGTCATTTCAATTTAAGGAGGACAGATAGTTTATTTTGAGCTTGATGATATGTCAGACACCTTAGTTGAAATTGAATCAAGATTCTTTGACTCTGAGATTGCCTGCATTGATATTGCTGAAGTTCCTGAAGGAAGACAAAGATGTAGATTTTTAGCTGTTGGATTTGTTGACAAAACAGTTAAGATAATGTCCTTAGATCCTGAGTCATGTCTTTAAAGAATTTCGATGCAAGCACTTCCAGCACTACCTGAATCGGTAGCACTCATTAACTTCAAGAAAAATGAAGTTACTTAATAGCAGCAGCAACTATTTTTGCATGTTGGTTTGGTTAATGGAGTACTGCTTAGAACACTAGTCGATAACGTAACAGGTGTACTTTCTGATTCAAGAACTCGCTTTTTGGGAACGAATTCAATTTAACTAGCCAAGGTGAAATAAGCTAATAATAATGCGCTAATAGCACTCTGTAATAAGCCATGGCTCTGTTATTCTCACATGAGCTCCAACAAAGTAAATATCACTCCTTTAAGTTACGAGCACCTTGAGGTCGCTTCTTCATTTTGCAGCGAGAAAAATCCTGATGGTGGCATCGTAGCTATCAGTGGAAACACTTTGAGAATTATCTCAGTTGATAGATTAGGTGAGAATTTTACTAATAAGGTCATGCCTTTGAGATACACACCTTCTAAGATCCAGATTCACAGAGAAACTAACTATCTAGTCATATTAGAAAAGGACCACAACAGTTTAACCTATAGTTAAAGATTAAGACAGAAAGAAGAGATAGCTGAAAAATCAAACGATCAAGAGTATTTGAATTTGGATGACTCAAAGATAAGCTATCCTAGAACTGGTTAAAATAAGTTTGCTAGTTGCATTAGAATAGTCGACCCCTTCTTGCTTTAAACTTTGGAGTTGATTGAATTTGAAAATAACGAAGTTGTGTTTTCCCATTTTATCGCAACTACTCTTGGAAATCCAGGAGAGACTCACTTGATTTTAGGAACTGCAATGAATGTTACATTCTAGCCAAGATCTTGCTCTCTTGGATTCATCAAAACCTACAAGTTTGTCAATAATGGCCAGCAACTTCAGCTTTTACATTCAACTCCATGTGAAGATATTCCAATGGCTTTCAATGAGTACAAAGGTAGACTTATTGCTGGAGTGGGATCAATCCTTAGAGTTTATGAATTAGGTCAAAAGAAGCTATTAAGAAAAGTTGAAAATAAGAACTTCTAGGCTGCAATTATCTAGATATAAGTAGATGAGGGCAGAATTTATGCAGGTGATTTGCAGGAGAGTGTTCATGTTCTGAAGTATAAACCAGAGGACATTCAGCTTTATACATTTGCTGATGATGTACTAAACAGATGGCTAACTTCATTCTGTCTTTTGGATCATGATACTCTAGCAGGTGTTGATAAATTCGAGAACATTTTCATAAACAGATTACCACTTGGCTGTGAGGATGACGCTGAAGATGATCCAACTGCAACTAAGTTTAAGTGGGAAAATGGCTACTTGAATGGAGCTGCTTTCAAGATGGATCCAGTTTGCTAATTTTACATTGGAGAAGTTGGAACCTGCATTCAAAAGTGCTCTTTAAATACCTTATCAGGAACCAACTCTGAAATTATCCTTTATGGAACTACAAGTGGTTCGTTAGGAGCACTATTACCATTTGAAACAAAGGAAGAAATTGACTTTTTTGTTCACTTAGAAATGTATTTGAGAATCGAAGCATAACCACTTTGTGGAAGAGATCATGTGACATTCAGAAGCTCGTATGTACCTGTGAAAGATGTGGTGGATGGAGATTTATGCGAGTAATATGCCTCTTTAGAGTTCAATAAGCAAAGAGTACTTGCAGAAGAGATGGATAGAACACCTCCAGAAGTAATGAAGAAACTAGAAAATATGAGAAACAAGATCTTATGAGCAATTTGACTCAGAATGTTCTCACATTCATTCTTGATTATATTAAATCTTAATTAATTCAAAAAGATATGAGTTTAAGCTTTATTTCATAATTAATTAGTCATACAAGACAAAATGAATTGTTATCATGAGTCTGTACAATTTATCCATCGTTTTGCAATTTATGCAAAGCATTTTCAAATTTTTCATCGTTGCAAATGGTCTTTGTCATTTATCTTAATTCGTCTCTGTGAGCGAATGTGCTTTTTTACTGCAATTTTTACACCATATTCAAGATAGTCTTTTATATGTCAGATTCGCTCATCTCAGAATTATAGGAGGAATTTTATTGGTGATTGTTGCCATATGATGACTATTTGTTATGGTAAGATTGATTGTTGTAGGATTTTTGGTGATAATTATTATTATTATGGCCACCGCCGTGGTGAGAATCAACCTGCATTTATTCTTGCGGATTAATAATTCCTGATTAAATAACTGGATTGGTATCCATAGCTAGTTCTCTTGGCTTCAAGATTCCCTTTTTTCTGATGCAATGAGAGATAAAGACTGAGAGGAAGTGATTAGTGACTTCATCAAACTTATCAATTCTCTTGATGTGAGTCCCTACAATTGCTTTTTCCTCTTTAAATACTCTGATGTTTCCATAGATTTTAGCGTAAGAGAACTACTCGAAGCTGAAGTTTCGAAGAGCTGTTGGCACTTAATTCTCCCCTTTGTGGTAGAAAAGTACATGAAATGTGCAAGTGTTATCGTTTATTTCAAATTATGTTCTCATTGGTTCTTCAATTCTTTTAAGCAGTCTGCCAACTATAATGATGTCATTAATGGTATCTCCATCATATTCGCATTGATCATCAGGCCTAGGCTAAGACTATTAAACCATTTTAAGAGTGACTGGGGCAAACACCTTCGGTTTTTTAACTTGGTCCATCTAGCCTACGTTTCTTCTAATATTGCCAGTTTGCATACCACCAAAGTTGCCCATGCCACTATTGTCAGGAATGTAGCCAGCAGGTTATAGGCTAAAGCCTTGTCCAACATTTGATTCAGAAAACATAATCTTTGAAAGTTTTGTTTATAATTTTGATATAAGGGGAGGTGTGATTGAAGTGTTTAAATTTAAAGATTAAAATTTAATGTCAAGGACATATATTAAAGCAAGGAAAGAGCGTCAATTTAAATATTGAAACTTGTGCTATTTCTATTAGACTTTAATTTACAATTTATAGATTGACTTTAGTACAATTATAATTAGCGTTGATTAATTTCTGTTTATTACTATTAATTAGATTTAAAGGAAAGATGGGGTTTTGGGGTTTTGGGG